GACCAAGAGCCCCAAGGCCGCAAAACCGGTCCCGAAATCGGGGAAACCGAAGGCCAAGCCCAAAGCGAAAGTGACCAAGAAAGCAGCAAAGAAATGAAGCAGTCTGTGCAACATGTAACCACCTGAACCGAAAGGCTCTTCTCAGAGCCACCCACATCTCTCAGGAAAGAGCTGAGCCCGGATCGAATGATCCCTGTCCCGGTTCCGAGTGCAGACATAGCTTAAACATGAATTGATTCGAGTAACTCAAATATCACACTTGCCGTGATTTACGAGAGCGGAGACTGAGAATGGGGAAGGTATCACATGGGGAGGGTCAATGGAACTGCATCTCGTTATTGCAGACCGCGAGTTGGAATTCTGCCCAGACACTAATGTTACATATTGCAGTATATGTATCTCATTAACCCTTACAGGAATTATATTTTGTTTAGTTTTGATGCTGGGACCCCTGGCGATATTTTAATGGTGTATTCCTTCCATTTACCTGTTAAAGACATTTCAGGCAGCAATTACAAATTGTGTTCTGCTTACAATCTGGGCGAAATAAAAATGTACCGAAAAAATGGGATTCTGTAAATATTCGTTTTGAAGATGTTTACATCGGCGGGTTTGATAAGATTGATTAACCGCGGTTACACGGCCGGTTGATCAGTTTGTCTGGGCTGTATTACACCCCGCGCTTTCCTTCTGCCTGTTACAGAAAGATCAGGCAATGATCCCGTGTCCGGTCCGCGCTGTGTGCAAGCTCGGTTTAAAAAGAAATTGGGGAAAGCAGCGCATGCGCGCTACTTGCCACCCCTCCTCCCCACCCATGCTGGTTGTTGCAGACAAGATGAGCGCTTGCGTGAGGCCCTCCCCCAGCGCTGCCATTGAGAAGCATTTACTCAGTGAGTGGAACAGGTTTGTTTGAAACAGACCGCAATGGAGAGACCAGCACCCAGGGAAGCGAGGGAACAGCAGGCTCCTTCCGGCAACATATCGAGGTGTGAGTCTCGGACACAGAGGGTGCTCCGAGACCGGCATTGATTCGGGCTCAGTTCAGGGAGAACCGGGGGCTGTGAGTGAGCGGCCTGGCGGGCAAGAGAGAGGCCTTTTTCGGGCTGTGTGTGGTCCGAACACAAGTGGCAAGAAGCTGCTGGGGGTCATTCTTGTGGTTTTGACATCTCGAAACAATGACGCAAATTACTGTTTGGCCTCTATTTCACGCTGTTTGTTGACATTGTGTGGTAAATTGTGGGAATACAAGTATCTTGTGTAGGACGTAGATTGGAGCTAAGAGATCATATGTATGGAGTAAAACATTTGAAATAGTGCCTATTGTTCTTTTCAACAGTTAGTGTGTTGGAATCTGGTAACATGAACTGTGTCAACATTGCAGCATCTTCGGGTAGCACCTTAGATGGAGCTGTGCAACCATTGCTTAGTTTCTGAATCTCACTCAATTGGTATCGAATTATATATTTAAAAAAAAAATCCTCAGACAAGAAGCAGCTCGATGTAAGAATGGAATCACACTTGTATTTGAATTGATGGCTTTAAAGAAAAGACAGAATTCTCATGACACAAAGTTCTTGTCCAATAGGTTTATTTAAAATCCATAAGCTTTTGGAGTTCTGCTCCTTTGGCAGTTGAAGTTAAAGAAAAGAAACATCCTAATAACTATTAACTGAATATACATTAATCTGTTTGAGATTGTCAAACTTGGCTGATGTTGATTTACAGGAGATATCTCTTTTGTCTTCCTCCAGGAAAATACTCGAAGGACCAAGGTGATGTAATATTTTGTCGGTACAAAGCCAAGTGTGAGCAGCTGCTTCTAACTAACAGCAGGTATGTTACTGTGATCAGAATGGAGTATATCCTTTCCACAGTGACAGAGCGGATTGAATCAGACTTATATTGAGCTCAATTTCCAGAGATGTATCCAAAGATACAACCAAGCACAACTGAAGAAAGGCAAGTTTTTTTTTTGGTTTCCATTGTCAATTGACATCATGCTAGTTCCAATTAATATCATTCATAGCCCATTAACATTCACATCATGTTTGAAATGTTAATGGCTGACTCCTTGTTGAAAGTACTCAAACAGGAAAGGAATCAACTTTACATTTAGTAAGGGTATTTTATAATGTCACAAACCAGATAAAGAAAGACTCCTCCTACTGCCCCCTTGATCATGACCCCGCCCCTGACCACCAAAACATCATCTCTCAGACCATCCACAACCTCATCACCTCAAGTAACCTCCCACCCACAGCCTCCGACCTCATCGTTCCCCAACCCCGCACCACCCATTTCTGCCTCCTTCTCAAAATCCACAAACCCGACTGCCCTAGTTGACCCATTGTCTCTGCGTGATCCTGCCCCACCGAACTTATCTCCAATTATCTCAACTCCATTTTCTCCCCCCTGGTCCAGGAACTCCCCAACTACGTCTGTGACACCACCCACGCCCTCCACCTCCTTCAAAACGTCCGATTCCCTGGTCCTCAACACCTCATCTTCACCATGGACGTCCAGTCCCTGTATACTTGCAATCCCCATGCAGATGGTCGAAAAGCCCTCCGCTTCTTCCATCTCCCGCAGGCCCGACCAGTCCCCCTCCACCGATATCCTTATCTGCTTAGCTAAACTCGCCCTTACCCTGAACATCTTCTCCTTCAACTCCTCCCACTTCCTACAGACAAAGGGGGTGGCCATGGGTACACGCATGGGCCCAAGCTATGCCTGCTTCTTTGTAGGATACATGGAACAGCTGCTCTTCTGCAGCTACACTGGCCCCATCCTCTGTTATATCGATGACTGTATCGGCGCTGCCTCGTGCTCCCACGAGGAGCTTGAACAGTTCATCCACTTTACTAACACCTTCCACCCCAACCTTAAGTTCACCTGGACCATTTCTGATACCTCTCTCTCCTTCCTGGACATCTCTGTTTCCATCTCTGGCGACCAACTGGAAACTGATATCTATTTCAAGCCTACCGACTCCCACAGCAACCTTGAATACACCTCCTCTCACCCACCTTCCTGCAAGAATGCCATCCTCTATTCCCAAATCCTTCACCTCTGCTGCATCTCCTCCCGAGATGAGGCATTCCGCTCCCGGACATCACAGATGTCCTCGTTTTTCAAGGACTGCAATTTCCCCTCCACAGTGATCGAAAATGCCTTC